AGGCCAGCAGTTCAACCTCACAAGCGTCTTTGTGGAAGAAAGACGAGGCTTTTTACTCCCGTAACGACTTAGAATCTTGAAAACCCACAGGAACAGTTCCATACAGTCCTATAGTGTCCCTATGAGTTAGAATCAACTCAATGGCAGTTTGGATTTGCATGGAGGGGCAACTCAAATGGGTTCTACAGTCACCTCGCGCTCCTCAGTGGGATTGGCTCAGTAACGTACTCTTGATTGGCTTCCCTCACTCTCTCTCCGTTTTCCATTCCCTGTTGATACCACCAGGGATCACATCTCAAATCAATTACTTGCACCCAAAGTCACATCTCAGAGTTTTCCTCTAGGGAAACCGCAGGGGAATATTACCCAAAGCCAACCCAGTTGCCTTGCAGTTGATTCTGACTGCATGCATTTCAGAGTAGAACTGCTGCATGGGGTTTCCAGTGATGGCGGCCATTTAGAAGTTTATCACCAGGACTGTTTTCTTAGGTATCTCTAGGTGGGTTCAAACTTGCCACCTTTTGGTGAGTAGCCAAGCGCTTACCCATCTGCACCACCCAGACAGTGTGACTATAAAGTTGAGTTTAAGCAAAAAAAGTAAAAAATATTCAAAAATAGCATTTTGAATTTCCTGACTACCATTTACTCTAGGCTTCATGCCCTTAGGAAGGTGTGTGTGTGTGTGTGTGTGTGTGTGTGTGTGTGTTGTCATCAGATCCTTGTTACAAAGAAATTGGGAGGCTGTGACAGGATTGTTGTCAAATGAGATAACGCTGTCAACTTGGTAACAAACAGTCCACAAGGCTCTATTATCTCTCTCTCAAAATCACTGCCTTTGGGTCGATAACAACCCATAAAGACCCTACAGGACAGAGTAGAACTGCTCCTTTGGGTTTCTGAGGCTGCAAATCTTAATGGGAATAGAAAGTCTCACCTTTCCCCCTTAGAGCACTTGATGGGTTGAACTGCCAACCTTGCAGTCAGCAGTTCATTGTTTAACCCACTAGCTTCCCTTAGTAACTAGTGAAGCTAAAAAATGACAAGTGAGGAAGTCAGATTGTAAGAAAGAATATTTGGATATGCTGTATATAGACTTAAATTAGATAGAGCAAAAAGAGCGTTAATGAGCTGATGGAATAGTTCAAAAGGAAATTTGGGTCCTGTGGCTATAATATATGACAAGGTAATAAATCAGTCAGAAGTTGCCTGGACTTCCTGTAACTTCTGTGACCAAAGGCCTCTTGTGGTCTGCAATGAATTGGCAATCTAAATCATCAAAAGTTCACAAGTGAGTCAAGAATAGAATCTTTTGTGCAGAGTAGGAACAAACACCTGATAAATCTTCCAGCTCAAAGCTTTTGTGGAACACCTTTTCAGTCATATAATTTCACGAACTTTTTTCCCTCCCTGTCCCATTTTACTTGCAATCCAGTCATTTGAAATGCTGTTATTCAGAGCTCTAGAGCTTTGAATGTTTTTGTGAAGATTTTAAAGTCATGGATTGGAAATACAGAAAGGAACTTTAAAAAATAAAAAATAAATCTTCCCCCAAGAACCACCTTCCCCTCTAGGAACAAAGGCTCTGTAACCTGAGGGCTTTCATTGTGGGAGCAAACTAAACAGACAATAAGCCAACACTGGGTGTGACATAGATATCCAGAGACACAGATGTTGAAGAAATACTGAGTCTCAATTTAGTTAGAAAACTAATCCCAAGGCCATCTTTGACCAGATGAAGAGAGTCTAACCCAAGGCCATGTCACTAACGTGTGAATTAATGTCATAGCAAAGTTTTACTTACAATAATGGGCAAATGCTGATTTTTAAAAGAAGCATATTTCAAAAACAATTCCATTGTTAAATATTGCTTGTTTTACCAGCCAGGGAGGAGTCCCTAGATGGCGGTGGTGGTGCTGGTGCTGGTGGTGCTAGTGCTGGTGATGGTGGTGCTGGTGGTGGTGGTG